AAGCCTCTCTGTAGGTATGTAGATCACCCTTTGAACAGAGAATGTTCAAAGGGTGACCTACATAGGTATCAGTCTACATTGAAGCTGTGCCTCCAAGGGATTTGAACCTTACCTTGGCATCCTGGTGAATTCAGCTCCAGGAAAATGACCCCCATCCCTACTGCAGCTCAGCTGTAGCTGAGCATATCCTTTATGCCATTATTGTTTCTTATACACTCCTTTATTGAAGTGTTTCTCTTATGGTATTAGGATAACTTCCATGTTTTATTTTTTTTAATATTTACTTTTTAGTTGTAGATGGACACAATACATTTATTTTATTTTTTTATTTTTATGTGGTGCTGAGGATCGAACCCAGGGCCTCACATGTGCTAGGCAAGCACTCTACCGCTGAACCACAACTCCACCCCCTTTTAAATTTTTAGTTGCAAATGGACACGATACCTTTATTTTTTTGTGTGTGGTGCTGAGGATTGAACCCAGGACATTGTACATGTGAGGCAAGCACTCTACCAACTGAGCTACAGTCCCAGCTCCCCCATGTTTTTTGTTTAAATGAATGATGAGCTACATTGGAATAGGCTCCAAGGTGTATTGGTAACACAATGAATGGTTAGGTGAGATATTTACAAGGAGTTCAAAGAGGACACCTAAGGCATTTGAATTTGCTCCTGGGGAGAACTCTCTTCTGTCCCATTTTTTAAAAATACTTTTTAATTGTCAATGGACCTTTATTTTATTTATTTATATGTGGTGCTGAGGATCAAATCAAGGGCCTCACACATGCTAGGCGAGCGTTCTACCACTGAGCCACAGCCACAGCCCCCTTTTGTCCCATTTTTAACAAAAGATTTCTTTTGAAACACAGCATCAATAGTAGATTGACCATGACCCATCTACTTACCCCAACAGATTTTTACCCTTTTCCATACCATACTGAGATACTGAACAAACTGGATTGAATCCTCATAAAACAACTGGTCTATACCAAGCACTGGTCTATACCAAGGGCTGGTTTATACCAAAGGAAACAGCTGTAGTAAAATTCTTGATTCTCTCCATTAGAGGGTTATATAGGATTTCACCATTCATCATAAAGTGTTTTTTTTTAATATTTATTTTTTAGTTTTCGGTGGACACAACATCTTTATTTTATTTGTATGTGGTGCTGAGGATTGAACCCAGCGCCCCGCGCATGCCAGGCAAGCGCGCTACCGCTTGAGCCACATCCCCAGCACCAAAGTGTTCTTTATAAGAATTTACATGAGGGCTGGGATGTGGCTCAAGTGGTAGCGTGCTTGCCTAGCATGCGTGAGGCACTGGGTTAGATTCTCAGCACCACATAAAAACAAAGATATTGTATCTACCTAAATCTAAGAAATAAATATTTTTAAAAAAATGAATTTACACAAGACATTTCTCTCACAAAAAGTTCCGTTTCAAGCTGGGGATGGTGGCACATGCCTGTAATCCTAACTGCTCCAGAGGCTGAAGTGGGAGGATTATAAATTTGAGGTGGGCCTAAGCAACTCAGCAAGACCCTGTCTCAAAATAAAAAAAGGGCAGGGGATGTAGCTCAGTAGTAGGGTGCTCCTTTCAATCCCTAGTACCAATAAATAAATAAATAAAACCAAGATAAAGAAAAAGTTCCATTTCAGGGCTGGGAGCTGGGAGCATAGGTCAGCAATAGAGCTCTTGCTTAGCATGCCCAAGACCTGGGTTCAATTTCCAGTACTGCAAAAGAAAAAGTTACTTCTCTTGAGTAATCATTTTATCTGTATATTAAGGATGGTGTGATTTTTTTTTTTTTTTTTTTTTTTTGTCTATGTTGGCAAGACTGGTCTTGAACTCCCAATCCCCCTGCCTCAGCTGAGTAGACAGGACTACAAGTCACAGGCAACCACATTCAGCTTGGGATACTGATTCATGCCTAATGTTTACCTCTTTACTTTGGCTACTTGGGTAGCTTAGCACAAGATTTGTAACCTATTTTCAATAATCACAAAGAACCTCTGGAGACCATCTACTTTCTGGGTATATACTCATTCAAAGCAACATTATTCAGAAGAGCCAAAAGGAGAAAACAACCAAATATCCATCACCAGGTGGATGGACAAAGAAAATGTGGTATATACATACAATGGAAATGAGTCTTAAAAAAGAAGAAAATTCTGTCACATGCTACAACATGGATGAAACTCAATGACCTTACAGTAAATGAAAATAGTCACAAAAAGATGAAAACTATATGAGGTATCTAAAGTGGTCAAACTGGTAAACAGAAAGTAGAATGATGGTTGCCAGTGGTGGGAAGGGCTGGAAAAAGAGGAGTTGTTTACTGTATATAGTGTATGAAAAATTCTTGAGATCTGTTGTACAACAATATGTATATAGTTAACACTACCAAACTAAATCATTAAAAATGGTTGAGATGGTCAATTTTACATGGTTTTTACTCCACTTAAAAATGAAAAAAATCACCTGATGCAGTGACACCCACCTCTAATCCCAGTTACCTGGGAGGCTGAGTCAGGAGGATTTCAGGTTAGATGCTAGCCTCAACAGCTGAGACCCTGTATCAAAAAACAAACAAACTAAAAGAGCTGGGGGATGTAGCTTAGTGGTAGAGCACCCCTGTGTTCAATGCCCAGCACTACAAAAAGAAATAAATGAGTAAAAGAAAAAGAAAAAAAAATTAATTTAAAGCTTATGCAGATTTATGGTGGTATTTATTATCTCTAATTTTCATGTATGTATGTAGTCTTTCATAATAAAAAAATTTTAAAGAAACTATTTATTTTAGTTTTAGTGGGGATTAAACCCAGGGTCTCATGCATGTTAAGCAAGCCCTCTTTTACTAAGTTCCTTCACCAGCTCTGAAGAAGCTATTTTAATATAGATGGATTTATGAACACAGTAAAGAATTTCGTTGAGTTCATCTGGGCATTCAATATCAAAGTTTCAACTTGCTTATAATAAACTAGGCATAAGTCTCATAATTGATTTGGGAAAAACAGCCAAATGTGAAATACAAAGAAAATTACAAACCACAGACCAACACCTATTTTAAATATCACCTGATGATGTCAAGGAAACAACTGTGCTTTTCTAATTGAAACCACAGTTTTCTTGCAGATTTTTAGTAAGAGACATGTAGCCAAATAAAATCACTTCGAATCTCAGAATCAATTCCTCTTCAGTTTCAAGGTAAGTCTAGGCAAAAAAACATATTCTTACGGAGAATAAATGTCTTTTTGCTTTGTTTTAGTGACTTCAGGCTGTCATTATTTTTTTGCTTTTCAAGTGAATAAAAGAAAAAATTCCACTTTATTAAGCGAACATGAGCATAGTGCCAAATACTGTGTTCTGTAAAATTTGCTTACAAATTAACTTTTGCAATTTATTGCCAGAAATTATGTTATTACTAAAAGTTTTGTTTATAAACCGAAAAAAAATAATCTTATTTATTGTACCAGGATAACATATGCTTTCCTTTTAAAAACATTTGGTTGTGTTGAGGTTTCCAAATGACCTACTTTGGGAAATATTAAACCAGGAAGCAATATGAGTAAATTCTGGCAACTGCTAGAATCCCCAGTGAAGTCATGGGTCATGAGATCTGCACTCTAGCTCTATCTATTGATCAACATGCATGACTCAGGAGGAGCTGCTGGTGGGTGAAAGAAGTTCTAACTCACTGTTAGGCTAACAAAACTGAGAAATCACACTTCCTATAATAGACGTTTTGTAAATTACCTCCAGATTGTTCGAATCAACTTTCAATTTTACCTTAAACTATTTCTTACGCTCAGCAGAAAATCATTTTAACTTGAAACGATCTAGTCTTTAATTACGCGTTTATTGAGCCAGTCTTGTTGACAACTTAATGACCGGTAACCTTTTTACTAGTGAAATACACCTAATTTATATGAATATGCAAATTTCTCAATGACTTACTTTGCGTGACATTCGTGAAAAACCAGCCGTTTTATGTTTATTTACACCCCCATCCAAGACTCCACCTGAAACTGTGATCCAAACACGCCTGCCTTACTCACTTAAATGGTGTTATCTCCTTGAGGGACGTGTGGTCACGCCCAGAGGGTAGTGAACCCAGTTATCTGGTCCTAACTGGTTAAATCCTGTTTTCGCCTCTCTTGCACTATAAGCAGGGAGAAATACTACTTTCCTGTGGGTGGACTCCCCATCTCTTAAACTGGGCTTTCGGCACCCCTATCTTCTACATTTCTCCTTCTTCCTACCAGTGTAGAGAAACACTAGGGAGGAATAAGGAATTACGGGTATTGGTGCAACTAGATCCAAGCCCTGCCAGCGTGTCACCTTGAGCTCGAGCCTCTCCTTTCTCAATGGCCTCTGTAGAGAGCCCCACGCTAAAGTCTAGATTTGTAGAATTACCAGGATTAAGACAAAGCACCTAAAAGCATTCTAATTCTGAGTGTGAGGGCTGCGTCGTTAAGGAGTAGAATGAGAAATCGTGATTCACAGTCAACACCCTTGCGGAACATCGTTTTGAAGTAGGAAAGACCCCCACCATCCCACATCCACCCCCCATCCACCCCCATTTCCGGCTGGAAAAATATCCCTCTTTCGGGAAGGTGCTCCTCTAGGCGCATGGGCATTCAGTTACTTAGCAACGTCGCTCCAAACGACTACCGAAGCCCAGCAACAATAGAACCACCGCGTCCTCTACCAATCAGCGCCGGCTTCACCTCAACCGCCTCACCAATCAGCGCCAGCGCTGCAAGGAAGTTTCCAGAGCTTTCGAAGACGGTTCCTTTAACTTGGATTCATCCGCTTGGTGATTTTTTCCCACTTTTTCGTCAAGTAGGATATAGAGTACCTGGAGGAGGAGAAATATAATTTTTTAGAATCCTTTGTTTCTACTGGGAGGAATTTGAGGCTCAACTGAAAGTCTAACGCGCCGCGAGTGGTGAAGCTGAAGGAACTACTTTTCAGCGGCGCACGGAGACGGCAGCTACGTCGAAGTGATAAGTGACGCAACAGACGTTGCATAAATTTCACCTCCGCCGGAGCGGCGCATTCAGTGGCGAGTGGCTTTGTGGATTGACGGTGTGCTGCTTTACGGCTGGATCGCGGTGACTGGTGGTTGGTGGCCTCTTCGCATTCGATAACAGGTACTGGCCTGAAGAGTTTTGGACCTGGTAAGGATGAGAAAGGGAGCTTGAGTGAGGTCACGGTGGCGGTTTATAGGGCCGGTGGCACCTCGGAGGGGGTGGGGGAGGGGTCGTGACGCGGCACGGCCCTCTCCGGAAGAGAGGGGCCTCGTTTGTGGCGGGAGCGGGGGCGGCTGGCGCGCGCCGGCGAAGACTAACTGACGCTTAACCGATGGAGATTCGGTCGCATTTGCTTCAGAGGGGGGAAGGTAGAAAAAAGGTAGTCTTGGTGATTTTGGGGAACCTTTAGTTAACGAATCTCAATATGGGAAATTGTTTCCCTCTGTTTTGTGGGGGTTTGGGCCTTGGGTTTGATTGGGGTTTTTTTGTATCGCCATAGTGAGGTGCGGGGACATTAGTGGGGGGAGGGGCGCTTAACCCGGAGCTACGGGGAAGAAAAATCGGGAGTCCTAGTTTCGAAAGCGGTTAGGCTTTTCTAGCGATTTCAAATTGAAAAAGCCACTAATTGTAGCCGAATGCGGTGGCGCGCGCCTATAATCTCTGGGGCTCGGGAGGCTGAAGCAGAAGAGGTGGAAGTTTAAAGCCAGCCTCAATAAGACTTGGTCTCAAAAAGGGTTGGATGGGGCTGCCGTTCTGGCTAAGTGGTAGAGCACTTTACTAGCATCTGCGAGGCACTGGTCTGGGTTCGGGCCTCAGCACCCACCGCATAAAGCTAAAATAAAATGAAGGTATTGTGTCCTCCGCCTACAACTAAAGCACCCTTAACCACTGACTGGTTCAGTCGCCAGTACCAACAAAAACCATTGACTATAAATGGAGTTTGTATTGCGTGACTAACTGTAGGCTAGTGAAGTTGGAGGTAGGTTCGTGAGAGACGTTAACGTTTTGTGCCCGCCCCCGCCCGTTTCTGTTCCTGCCCCTGCACTGGGGAACCAACCAAGCCGTGTTAGGCAAGTGTTCTATCACATTAATGTGTTTTTAAGGCATTTTGAAAAAAAAAAAAGATTTGAAGAGTGGTTTGGGATATTAAAGTAGGAAATCGATCCTGAGATGACACCAATTGTTTCTGTTTTAAATTCTAGGTCAAAATGCAGATCTTTGTGAAGACCCTGACTGGCAAGACCATCACCCTGGAGGTGGAGCCCAGTGACACCATTGAGAATGTGAAGGCCAAGATCCAGGATAAAGAAGGCATCCCCCCTGACCAGCAGAGGCTCATCTTTGCAGGCAAGCAGCTGGAAGATGGCCGCACTCTTTCTGACTACAACATCCAGAAAGAGTCCACCCTGCACCTGGTCCTGCGCCTGAGGGGTGGTATGCAGATCTTTGTGAAGACCCTGACTGGCAAGACCATCACCCTGGAGGTGGAGCCCAGTGACACCATTGAGAATGTGAAGGCTAAGATCCAGGATAAAGAAGGCATTCCTCCTGACCAGCAGAGGCTCATCTTTGCAGGCAAGCAGCTGGAAGATGGCCGCACTCTTTCTGACTACAACATCCAGAAAGAATCTACCCTGCACCTGGTCCTGCGCCTGAGGGGTGGTATGCAGATCTTCGTGAAGACCCTGACTGGCAAGACCATCACCCTGGAGGTGGAGCCCAGTGACACCATTGAGAATGTGAAGGCCAAGATCCAGGATAAAGAAGGCATTCCCCCTGACCAGCAGAGGCTCATCTTTGCAGGCAAGCAGTTGGAAGATGGCCGTACTCTTTCTGATTACAATATCCAGAAAGAGTCCACCCTGCACCTGGTCCTTCGTCTGAGGGGTGGCTGTTAATTCTTAAGTCTGCATTCATGGTGCGCAGTTATAGTATTATGCTGCACATAGCCATTTGCCCCAGTATAAGTTTAGAAATTACCAGTTTCAGTAAAAGCTGAACCTGTCCAAAATGTTAATAAAGTTTTGTTGCATGGTAGCATATTTGGTGTTTGTTGTCTTTAAATTTTGTAGTTAATGTTGCAACTTCTTAATTAAAATGGTGTTGGGACAAGGGTTATCACTTTGAAATTGGTAATGTGGCCAAAATTGACACTTGAGTGTCAAGGGATGGGACCTTTGTCCTAAAAATTGGTGTCAAGCAAATATGTAAATAAACAATGGCTTTTTTTCACATTGAGTAGATACAAACAGCTGCCTATAGCTAAACAAACACTTAAGTAAACTTGGTTGAGGCTTTTGCTGGAGGTGAGTTTATAGTGCAATAAGGAAGTTATCAACATGGAATAAAAGTCATGGGGAATGTAGAAAGGCAGAGAAATTGGGGTGACCTTCCTGGTTTTCTCAGATTTATAGTAGGAAAATAATTCCTGGTACTAAAACTTGTCATAAGTGTACTTTTTTTTTAAAATATTTATTTTTTTAGTTTTCGGCAGACACAACATCTTTGTTTGTGGTGCTGAGGATCGAACCCGGGCTGCACGCATGCCAGGCGAGCGTGCTACCGCTTGAGCCACATCCCAGCCCCATAAGTGTACTTAAGATGTGTTTAATAGTTAACTTTTTTCTTTGTACTAGGGTTGAACCCAAGGCCATTCTACACAGCTGCATTCCAGCCCTTGTTTTGAGATGGTCTCCCCAAGATGCCCTTTCTGGCCTTAAATCTGGGCTCCTCCCTCAACTTCCTGAATAGTTAAGTTGTGCATCATAGGGCTGAGGTTGTGGCTTAGAGGTAGGGTACTTGCCTGGCATAGAGGAGTGTAGTAACATTTTAGAAATAACCAACAGGTATAATCCAAAGATAGAGACAACATCTAGAAATAAGCCTCCGTAATACGCTATGTGTACCTGAAAATTATGCATAACTTTGGAACTCTTAAACTGGTTCTGAGAATACCCTCAAAGCATAAAACATCACATTTAAAGTGCATAACTGGGTTACTTGGCAAATTAGGTACTGCAGGTAACAATTTTACTATTAGGCCAGGTTAATGCTTCAACCCTCAGAGTGGAGGTATACTCTGGCTAGGAAAACCTAGGGGGTAGTAATGGGAAAAAAATGATTTCAAACCTTTTAAAAAGCTTCCTTAAACCAGGTACTGTGGAATGTTTGCTTATAATAATGAGAAAGTAGTAGATCCAACGCTCTAGATTAACATCACAAGATAAAAGCTTTTGCCAGCTTTTAGTGAAATAAGAACACCTTGGTAGAAACTCTTCAATTCGGGCTGGGGTTGTGGCTCAGTGGTAGAAAACTTGCCTAGTATGTGTGAGGCACTGGGTTCAATTCTCAGCATCGCATATAGACAAAGGTCTGTTAATAACTCAAAAATATGTTAAAGTCTCCAATTTAAGGATATAGCTTAGTTGGTAGAGTCCTTGCCTCACTTGCACAGGGCCCTGGGTTCCATCCTCAGCGTCATCAAAATCTTCAATTTAAAAGACTGATGAGGGCTGGGGATGTGGCTCAAGCGGTAGCGTGCTCGCCTGGCATGCGTGCGGCCCGGGTTCGATCCTCAGCACCACATACAAACAAAGATGTTGTGTCCGCCGAAAACTAAAATAAATATTTAAAAAAAAAAATAAAAGACTGATGAAATTGTTTATGTAGAAATGTTGCTATGTAGAACAATGATTCATTGTGGTTCTTTGACACTATAATCCAAGTATATTCAGTTTGGCATATTCCTATTTTCCCATTATTCCTATTTTACTTTAATAAGGCATACAATCAATTGTAAACAGATACATAGAGTAAAATAGTAAAGTCATTCTTCAGTGTCCCTCCCAACTTTACTTTTCTCACATCCTCCCACATCTTTATGCCACTTGCTAAAAATTTGGTATATTTATTACTAGATAATTTTCAAAATGTTCACATGATTATGTCATATAAAAGCATACTTCTACAGTTAGGTGGTGGCACTAAACAACTCAGACCCTGTCTAAAGTACATAAAAAAAGGGCTAAGGATGTGCCCATGAGTTTAATCCCTGGTAACCCCACCCCCCAGGGTCTTGGAGACACACACATGCTACTAATACATACAGGTACCTTTTTTTAAATTTTTTTATGTAGTGTTGAGGATGGAACCCAGTGCCTCACACATGCTAGGTAAGCACTCTACTGCTGAACCACAATCCCAGCCCATGTACCTTATTTTTGAACAACAATATATTTCATTGTGTGGATATACCACATTTTACCCATTTCCTTACTGATGTATATTTACACTGTTTCTAATTGTTTGCTTTTTTTTTTTTTTTAGAGAATTTTAATATATTTTTTAAAACTTTTTTAAAGAGAGAGGAACAGAGAGAGAGAATTTTAATATTTATTTTTTAGTTTGCGGCAGACACAACATCTTTGTTTCTATGTGGTGCTGAGGATCGAACCCGGGCCGCACGCATGCCAGGCGAGCGTGCTTCCGCTTGAGCCACATCCCCAGCCGGAGAATTTTAATATTTTTTAGTTTTCGGCGGACAAAACATTTTTTTGTATGTAGTGCTGAGGATGGAACCTGGGCCACACGCATGCCAGGCGAGCGCGCTACTGCTTGATCCACATCCCCAGCCCATCTAATTGTTTACTATTAATAATGCAATAAATACCCTTGTGTCTCTTGTCACCAAAGTCCAAGTATTCAGGTAGAATTTCTACATAAAAAGTATTTAAGGGGCAGGGGTTGTATCTTAGTGGTTGAGCGCTTGCCTTGCATGTGTGAGGTACTGGGTTCGGTCCTCAGCACCACAGAAAATAAATAAAGCAAAGATATTGTGTCTATCTACAACCAAAAAAAAAAAAAAAAAAAAACAGCATGTAAATTTTTGTGATTTTTTACAAAAAGTCCTTCAAAAAGTATCAGGGGCTGGGATTGTGGTTCAGTGGTAGAGCACTTGCCTAGTATGTGTGAGGCACTGGGTTCGATCCTCAGAACTACATATAAATAAATGAATAAAATAAAGGTCCATCACATCTAAAAAAATTTTTTAAAGTATCATATACAATGTAATATTCGGATTTTCTTAATTTTTTTAGTTGTAGATGGCACAATACCTTTATTTTTTTATTTTTATGTGCTGAGGATCAAACCTAGTGCATCACATGTGTGAAGCAAGCGCTCCACCACTGAGCTACAACTCCAGCTCCAATGTTCATTTTTTTTTTTGTTTTTTTCTTTTTTCTTTTGGTACTGGGAATTGAACTCAGGGGCACTCAACCACTGAGCCACATCCCCAGCCCTATTTTGTATTTTATTTAGAGATAGGGTTTCACTTAATTGCTTGGCACCTCGCTTTTGCTGAGGCTGGCTTTGAACTTGGGATCCTCATGCCTCAGCCTCCTGAGCCCTGGGATTACAGGCGTGCGCCACCGTACCTGTCTCAATATTCAGTTTTTAAAAGGAAGGAAATCCTGACACTACAATATGGATGAATTTGGGGGTTTTAAAGCAGTTTTATCATTAAAACACAATCCCATCTTTTTACACCATTTCCCATCCACACTAGGGTATAATTTTACAGTTTGATGTTGACCAACTTCTTATCATCCTGGAATCTTGAGTGAAGGGTCTAGGCCCCAGGTCAACAGCTGGCATAAAAAGATGCCTAAAGAAAGGTGAACCTTAGTAACAATGAGTCATCCATCAGCCTTGCTCTGGAGCCTGCTGTATAGACCCAGGTGAATTAATTAATTTGAGAGGGCTAAGTGTACTCTGAGACCAGATAGCTTTTCTGGGCATTGCAAGTAGAACACAATGACCCAGCTCCTTGGATTCCTTCAACAGGTGGCCGAGGCCTCCCAAAACCCAGCCTTGAGAAAAAAGTTATGCACCCAATTGTCAGAACTGCTTTCCTTACTCTGTGAATGGAAAATACTGGCTTTTGCCTCCAGCAAGTGGCATGTTTCCAGTGTTTTGGGTGAGGAGAAAAAAGTCCTTTAAGGCTTCTCTGACAAAAACGTAACTGGCATCTTCCCACCATGAAAAGCAGCCTTGAGACAGACCCATGGCTCCCATCTCTCACTTGTGGATTAGCTAGCTGCCAGCCTCCAAACCTGTTTTTCCTTGGCTTCCTGAGAAAAGCCTTCCTGAAAGCTGTTTTTCTGAGCATCAGGCTTCAGCATAATCTCCTTTAGAAGCTGAAATGGCCTGCTCTTTTTTAAAAAAATATTTTTATTATAGATGAAACTTTATTTATGTGGTGCTGAGACTCGAACCCAGTGCCTCACACATGCTAAGCAAGCGCTCTACCACTGAGCTCCAGCCCCAGCCTGTCCTGCTCTTTTTTTTTTTTTTTTTTTTTTTGCCAACACTTTAATATAGAATTTCTGATAGTTTTTTTAGATTAATCTTCTCCCCTCTCTCCCAACTGGGCTTTTCCTGGAAGAAGATGGCAAAATTTACTGGAACAATATGGCTCCTATCCCCACACCAGCCAAGACCTTGAGAAAGGGGACAGTGCTGAGCCTCCCAAGGACATGGCCAAAGGAATTTAGGAAAATGGGGGGCCTCCAATGGAGAGAGGATGGTTAACAGGTACAGGGATGTAGCTGGGGTGGGAGGAATAACTTATTGTTCTATAACAGTAGGATAACTATGGTTGACAATAATTAATTGAATATTTCAAAAAGTAGAGAGGATTTTTTAATATTCCTGACACAAAGAAATGATAAATACCTGAGGTGGCAGTTATGCCAATTACCTTGATCTGATCATTACAGCTATACACACATGTATTAAAATGCCACACAGTATGCCATAGATATATAAATTATGCCATAGATATTATAAATTATGCCATATATATATTATATATCATAGATATATAAATTTAAAAACAGAAAAGAAAAAATAGAGACCTCCAGAGATAAGGAGGGGAATTTGAAGGGGTAAAAGCAGGTGCTTGGATTGCGGCTATGGCTCAGTGGTAGAGCACTTGCCTAGCACATATGAGGCACTGAGTTCAATCCTCAGCAACA